AGACAGACGCCAGGATGTGAAATGCCAGGGCAGGGGCATCTGAAGGGACAGGGGGATGGGTGGCCGCTGGGGACAGGGCGGGGGCGGGATCAGGTTGGAGGAACTGGGTGTCTCTTTGGGGTGATGAAAATGTTCTGGAATCAGGCAGTGGCAGTAGCTGCACAACTTCGTGGCTATACTGAGAAACACTGGGCTGTACACTTTAAAAAGGGTGAATTTTGTGGCATGTGAAGTGTATCTCTTTTTTACAAAAGAGGGAGGTATGTAAGGAGGAGACTCTCTCCCACAGTGCCTCCACTAGAGGCTTCATGATGCTGCTACCGTGTATATAGAGGGGTCCAGGAAACAGTGAGGAGGAGGATGGCAGGAGTCACCACAGGAGCAAGGTGAGGGTGAGCCTTGCTGTGCTGCACTGCCCCACGCTGGGCAGGAGTCCGTCCCCTCCTCTCACAAATGCTAGGTGCCTGTGCAATGGACCAAGACCGAGTGGGGGACCCCTGCCCCCATGCTGCCCGTTCTGGTGCACAGCGCCAGGGGCTGAGCCCCAGGAGCAGCGGGCAGTGTGACCCTAAGTTCCTGGGCCAGTGGGACTGCACCACCCTGAGAGTGTGCACACACACCAGGGGCCACTCTCAGCGCAGGTACACAGAGTCCAGGGGTCTGGCTGCATCTGCCACCTGCTCATGGAGAATGTTTGCTGGGCACTTGCTCCCAGACCAGCCAGGCACCAAGGAAGTCTCCCGGTAGGGGCAGAGACTGTGTTCAGCCACTAGGGGCCAGTGCAATCCTGAGATGGGCTCAGTTGGTCTCTGCAGGACTGGCCAGGTGGGGGGCTTGTGGGGCAGGGTCGCAGGCACCTCCCCACAGACAAGAAAGGACAGCTCTGGACTTGAGGCCTGTGCCCATAATCCTGAGTTCACAGTGTTTCCAGTTTGGCCAGAGATTGAGCCTGGCCAGCTAACCTTTGTAGAGTCTTCCAGAACCTTCCTGGAGCTAAGGCCATGCCTGCATGGGGTACAGGTTGGTCAGAGGATAGTATCTCAGGAGCATCCGACGGGGACAAGCCCCAGGGAGGGACCTTCACTCAGGGGCCAGGGCAGCCATATACAACGGTCTGGGGCAAGAAATCTCAGCATTGGCATTTAGACAGGTTCTGGCAGCTTCCAAGCAGGAAAACATTTTTTTCTTTTTTGTCATAGGCTATCCTGATCTTTCAGGGAGGCGCTTGTACATAAATTGTACTCAATTAGGATCTAAATCCCCTTTGCCCTGTTCTCTATTAACATTCTAGTTAATTCAAGGTCCCATTTCTATAAGTATAATTGTGATGGATGTGTTACTTAGTTCAATGCAAGCATTTCACATTGTATATTGAAGCAGTATCCTGAACCCCATAAATGTATCAATGTACAAAGTTATGATTTAATAAAAAACAATTTTAAAAAAAGTTCCCATTTCTGTTCCACGTTTTAATATTCACAATTTTCCCTGCATCAAACTCCACAAAGTGAGGGGCCATGGGGAGAGGACAGGGTGTAAAGAGCTGTGTTTTCAAGAAGTCTTTCCCTCCGAATTCCAAAAAAAAGGGCAGAGTGGAGCCTGGCCTGGACTCGTTTTTCAGCTTTCACCCATAGGGTGATTTCTTGAGGCTCCTTGCTGTTTAAACCGGGCTCAGGGATTTATTGTGTAAGGAACAGATTCCAGAATTCATGTGGGTTCTGGTTCCAGCCCCTGGCGAAATGCATTCTGAGCTGCTTTTTACAACATGCACAGCTCTGGCAATGTGTAGCTTGTGCCTTCTTTTTTAAATTCTATTTTTATTTTTATATAGACTTACTTCATGTGAAACACCTCTGGCTGTGTGCAAAATACAACATGGATTAAGACCTACTGAGCCGGGATTGGCACTGGCGATTCCAGACATATACAGCATCATTAGATGTGGGGCCTCCTCTGGCCAGTGGCAGCAGGTGGGCAGCCTCAAGCACGAGTTAGGTGCTATTATTAAATTTCAAGCCTCCTCCCAACCCTGATGTGTCCTCCCAGGAGGGGACCCTGAGAGTCAGGGAGTGGGCCATGGGTCCTCAGAGATCGTGGGCACATGGGGGAAGAGAGGAGAGACCCCTGCTCCAAGCTACCCCCACGTGGGAAGAATGCAAGAGCAGGACAGTGGTCAGTGGGAGCCACAGTCTTGGGCACTGGGCAAGGACACCACACATGCCCTGCCCCTCCACAAAGCCCCAGGGCCTCCTGTTCCCCTCTCTGTGAGTCAGCTTCACTTCCTAGAAACAAATGGGTGGGCCAGATCAATGCAGGGCACAGAACCTTTGGGAAGTCAAACGAAAGCCAAGCCTCTGCCCTACCTCCAGCCTGGGCACATGACCACGTTTCATTCACCAAATGAAGGCAGCGAGGAGGCAGCCATGAACTTGTTACAATGACCACAAGGCAGTGACAGTAAATGTTAGACCTCGTAGATTCGTGCCTGAGCCAGCCCTGTGCCAACCTCTTCAGAGTCTCTCGTTGAGCCCTCAACGCTAGGAATCAGGAGCATTAGAAGTCAGGCCTGGTGAAGGTTGCACAACCAGCTAGTAGCAGAATTGGAACTCAACCCCTCTAAGGCACTGGTCATTTCAGATTTTGTGATTTCTGTCCTGCTGATACAACTCAACCACCCTGTGTCCCATCACAAGTTGCAGCCTGTCTTTTTATTCCTTCTCTTCCCCTTTTCCTTAAAACTGGACACTGGCATGCATGCACAGGCACAAGCACTTATGTTCCAAGTGTGATCATGAAGACGACACTCCAGTAACCCTCGGGTCCCCAGGTGGCCATCCCTCCAGCCTGCCCAGAATGTGCTTGTGCAGTGTGGTGGTGTGAGCTTTGGGTCTATGTGTGATGGGAATCATCTTCTGTCTCTTGGCCCTTTGCTGAACATACTATTAGTGAGATTCATTCTCGTGAACTCTGCCCAGCCACTGGGACCAGAAAATGCTTCCTGGCAGTCCTTGTGGTTAACTTGCAGCCTGCAGGTGTCTTATTCCAGGAAAGCAAGCCCACACCAGAACGTTTGTTTAAACGCGACCCACCCTATTTAAGGCACTATCGCAAAATATACTCCGGGAGGGGCGGCTCCTGCCTCCTTCCCTCCTCGGTCCCCCACAGCCCAGCGCGGAGCCTTCTACCTGGAGGATGCAGACTCAGGGATCCTCCCTGCCTTCCTGACCCTGATCTGCCCACTGAAATCCCAGCCCCAGAGCGGTCTGAGGTGGGTGTCCTGGACCTGCCACACTGAGGGGCCCAGGCTTTCCTCCTTTCTCTACCCCACGACTCCAAGCACACATTTCCCAGCAGGATTTGCCAGGGGAAACTCCGAGGATTAAAAACTCCCGAAGCAACGCTACTGTTTAGGTCAGTATGACGTCTTCGGATCATTGCCAACGGGAAGAAACGCTCACGTTGGGCTTCGGCCCAAAGACGTTGTTTCACCAACTTGGAGCGAAACCGGCAAAGACCTTCCCCGTCTCTAAAGCTGCCCACGTTCGCTGAGGCCATACCACCGGAGCTCAGCTCGGAGATGCAGCGACCCTCCTGGGACAAAAAGACTCGCTCTAGAGGAGACTGCGCCACCCTCCCACCCCTACCGCCGCGACCACCCCGGGAGAAGCCATCTCAGACGACGAGACGCCCCCACCCCCACCCCCACCCCGACGTCGTGGAGGCCTCCAGGGTGGGTCGGGGCCCTCAGAGCTCCAGTGAGGGTGAGCGCGCTCCCTCCCCACCAGGGGTGGTGCAGTCTTAAGGCCCTGGGGGAAGAGAGGCTGTCGCACAGTCCCAAAGCCTTCCCCCCGTGAAGGTATCTCAAAGGCCTCAGCCTCCACCCCCTCTTCAGGCTGTGCCCCTCTGGAAGCGGAACGCCTTCTGGAAGATCTGAAGTTCCCTTCCTATCCCGCCGGGGTTCGTCACCGGAGGCGTGTGCTCGCACGCGCGCGTCACTCACAGTTCTAAAAGGTCTAAGGTCTCTGCACCCCTGTTCTTTGCAGGATTCGGGGGGGGGGGCGTAGCAGAGTTCTCAGTGCCCACGCTCAGGTGATTGCGCGCCCCCGGGGCCTCCAAGGTCCGCACTGCCGGTCGATGGCTCTGGGACTCGGCAATGAGTCCGTGATCGCTTCGGCCCGGCCACAAGCGCGAACCTCCGCCGTCCCCTCTAAATCCCAAATTTCAACCCTGGTTTTCTTTTCATTCAAAAGTGCTTGAAACCAAGTAGGACGCGCATCTGGTAGCTGCGTATTGGGTTTCAAAGTCCACGGACGTTTTCTGTCCAGGGGGGCATTTTAGCCCCCGTGCGTCTGACAGTGAATGTGTAATCTCCAGCCCCCTTGGTCCCTATGCGGAACTCTCTGACACCTCTGCCCAGTTCCGGTCCCGGGTCCAACCCGCGCGGCGCCCGTGGCGGCGATCTCTGTGGATCCGTCCTGCTGTGTTGGGGTGCAAGTCTTGGGGCCACGCTCCCGCCCCCGACGTGTGGAGCCACCGCCGGGCGGGTAGTGGCAGCCAGAGGCCCCCCAGCCCCGCCTTTCGCTCCTCCGCTCAGCCCCTCCTCCCCGGGAGGCCGAGTGGGGAGGTCGCTGAGGGTTGGGCCAGCACCCCCTACCCCAGCCGCGCCCCCGCGTCTCCATAGCGATCCTCCCCGTGCACACCTCCGGGCCCGCTCCCCCCGGGGCCCGAACAATAAGCCGCGGGGCCGGGGGCGGGGCGGGGCCGGTCGGGGGCGGGGAGAACGCGGGCGGAGGGGGCGCAGGCAGAGCTCACCGCCCAGGCAGCAGCCGATAGCCAGGGTCTGAGCAGAACGGCGCGGGCCAGCCCGCTCGGGGATCGTACCGCCCCGATCGGGGCCCGCCCCGCTTCCCACGCCTGCCCGGCCTAGCCCGCGCCGGAGCCACCTGGAGCCGCCTGGAGCCACCGCCGCTGCAGGTTGATGTGCGGCGCCCTCCCGGGACTGGCGGAGGAGCCATCTTGAAACCAACTTTGCAAACTTTCGCAAAGTGCTCTCGAAGTGGAAGCTGCGGGGGAGGCCGGGTGCGCGGCCCTCGGTGTCTCTGCCAGGGTCCCCGGGGAGACAAGGCGCGGGCCGTCCGGAGGACCCGGCGCCGGGCGTGCAGGAGCCGCCCCGGGGCCGCGCGGGGTGGATGCGGAGGCGCGCCGGGTGCATGGATTGTGCTCGGGCGCCCGGCTCGGGCTCGGGCTCCGGGCCATGGCGCCGCCGCCGCCGGTGCTGCCCGCGCTGCTGCTCTTGGCCGCCGCCACCGCCCTGCCGGCCCTGGGGCTGCGAGCGGCCGCCTGGGACCTGCGCGTGCCCGGAGGGTCCCGCGCCTTCGCCTTGGGGCCTGGCTGGACCTACTCATTGGACACCGCGCGCACGCCCCGGGCTCTGCGGGAACTGCTGGACGTGAGCCGAGAAGGACGGCTGGCAGGACGGCGGCGCGGGCTAGGCGCGGGGCCTCGGGACTGCGCGCGGCTGGGGGGGCGCCCGCTGCCGCTGCACGTCCGCCTGGTAGCCCGCGGCTCTCCGACAGCATTAAGCCTTCGCCTACAGGCGCGCGCTCAGGGTCCTGGCTGCGGATCCTGGCCGCGGCGCCGACGGGCCCCTGGTGCGGAGCTGCGCGCGCGTGCAGTGCTCACAGTTCCCGGGTTTGGAGGGGCGCTCTGTTTTCCAGCCCCCGGCGGCGGCGCCGCGACGCTGCACTCGGCGCTAGCTGCCCTCACCAGCTTCCCCGCCTGCAGCTGCTCGGCCCAGCCCGAGCCCCACTGCCGGGCCGGCCCCATCTGCCTGCCTCCCGGCAGCTCGATCCGCCTGCGCCTTCTGTGCGCCCTGCGGCGCGCTGCCGGCGCCGTCCGGGTGGAGCTGGTGCTGGAAGCGGCCGCAGCAGGGACGCCCTCCGCGTTGCCGTCGCCGCAGTCATCGCCAAGCCCGCCTCTAGCCAGGGTGGCGATGGCGCGACGGGCCCGGCGGGGCGCGGGCGGCAGCACGAGCCCGCAGTTCCCGCTGCCTAGTTACCAGGTGTCGGTGCCTGAGAACCAACCTGCCGGCACCGCGGTCATCGAACTGCGCGCGCACGATCCCGACGCGGGCGAGGCTGGGCGCCTGAGCTACCAGATGGAGGCGCTGTTCGACGAACGCTCCAACGGCTACTTCCTCATCGACTCGGACACCGGCGCGGTGAGCACCGCCCGCGCGCTGGACCGCGAGACCCAGGACACGCACGTCCTCAAGGTGAGCGCCGTGGATCACGGCTCTCCGCGGCGCTCGGCCGCCACCTACCTCACCGTCACGGTCAGCGACACCAACGACCACAGCCCGGTTTTCGAGCAGTCCGAGTACCGCGAGCGTGTTCGCGAGAACCTCGAGGTGGGCTACGAGGTGCTGACCATCCGAGCCACCGACGGCGACGCGCCCTCCAACGCCAACATGCGCTACCGCTTGCTGGAGGGCGCAGGCGGCATCTTCGAGATTGATGCGCGCTCGGGAGTAGTGCGCACCCGGGCCGTGGTGGATCGGGAGGAGGGGGCCGAGTACCGGCTTCTGGTGGAGGCCGACGACCAGGGCCGCAACCCCGGCCCACTCAGCGCCACGGCCACCGTGCACATCGTAGTGGAGGACGAGAACGACAACTACCCCCAGTTCAGCGAGAAGCGCTATGTGGTGCAGGTGCCCGAGGACGTGGCGGTCAACACTGCAGTACTGCGTGTGCAGGCCACGGACAGGGACCAAGGCCAGAACGCGGCCATCCACTACAGCATCGTCAGTGGGAACCTGAAGGGGCAGTTCTACCTGCACTCCCTGAGCGGGAGCCTGGACGTGATCAACCCGCTGGATTTTGAGGCCATCCGGGAGTACACGCTGCGCATCAAGGCCCAGGATGGGGGCCGGCCTCCTCTCATCAATTCCTCGGGGCTGGTCGCTGTGCAGGTGCTGGACGTGAATGACAACGCGCCCATCTTCGTGAGCAGCCCCTTCCAGGCTGCCGTGCTGGAGAACGTGCCCCTGGGCTACTCCGTGCTGCACATTCAGGCGGTGGATGCCGATGCGGGTGAGAACGCCCGTCTGCGTTACCGTCTGGTGGACACAGCCTCCGCGGGACCTGGGTCTGAGAGCGCTGCCACCACCCCGGGTTTCCCCTTCCAGATCCACAACAGCTCGGGCTGGATTACGGTGTGTGCTGAACTGGACCGGGAGGAGGTGGAGCGCTACAGCTTCGCGGTGGAGGCGGTGGACCACGGCTCGCCACCCATGAGCTCCTCCGCCAGCGTCTCCATCACGGTGCTGGACGTGAATGACAACGACCCGGTGTTCACGCAGCCCATGTACGAGGTTCGTCTGAACGAGGACGCTGCTGTGGGAAGCAGTGTGCTGACCCTGCGGGCCGAGGACCGCGACGCCAACAGCGTGATCACCTACCAGCTCACTGGCGGCAATACCCGCAACCGGTTTGCGCTCAGCAGCCAGAGTGGCGGCGGCCTTATCACCCTCGCGCTGCCGCTGGACTACAAGCAAGAGCGACAGTACGTGCTGGCGGTGACGGCGTCCGATGGCATGCGCTCACACACTGCACAGGTCTTCATCAACATCACGGACGCCAACACCCACCGGCCAGTCTTCCAGAGCTCCCACTACACGGTAAGTGTCAGCGAGGACCAGCCTGTGGGCACCTCCATTGCCACCATCAGCGCCACGGATGAGGACACGGGTGAGAATGCCCGCGTCACTTATGTGTTGGAGGACCCTGTGCCCCAGTTCCGCATTGATCCGGACACGGGCACCATTTACACCACCACGGAGCTGGACTATGAGGACCAGGCTGCTTACACGCTGGCCATCACGGCTCGGGACAATGGCATCCCTCAGAAGTCGGACACAACCTCCCTGGAGATCCTCATTCTTGATGCCAACGACAATGCCCCCCAGTTCCTGCGGGATTTCTACCAGGGTTCCGTTTTTGAGGATGCACCACCGTCAACCAGCGTCCTCCAGATCTCTGCCACAGACCGGGACTCCGGCCCCAATGGTCGTCTGCTGTACACCTTCCAGGGTGGGGACGATGGTGATGGGGACTTCTACATCGAGCCCACATCCGGCGTGATCCGCACCCAGCGCCGGCTGGACCGGGAGCACGTGGCTGTGTACAGCCTCCGGGCTCTGGCTGTGGACAGGGGCAGCCCAGCTCCACTAAGTGCCTTGGTGGAAATCCAGGTGACTGTCTTAGACATTAACGACAACCCCCCTGTGTTTGAGAGGGATGAGCTGGAGCTGTTTGTAGAGGAGAATAGCCCCGTGGGGTCGGTGGTGGCGAGGATTCATGCCGATGACCCTGATGAAGGCCCCAACGCCCAGATCATGTATCAGATTGTGGAAGGCAATGTGCCGGAGGTCTTCCAGCTGGACCTGCTGAGTGGGGACCTGCGTGCCCTGGTGGAGCTGGACTTTGAAGTCCAGCGGGAGTATGTGCTGGTGGTACAGGCCACATCGGCCCCGCTGGTGAGCCGAGCCACGGTGCACATCCGCCTCCTGGACCAGAACGACAACCCGCCAGTGCTGCCTGACTTCCAGATCCTCTTCAACAACTATGTCACCAATAAGTCCAACAGCTTCCCCACTGGCGTAATCGGCCGCATCCCTGCCCGTGACCCTGACCTGTCTGATAGCCTCAACTACACCTTCCTGCAGGGCAACGAGCTTCACCTCCTGCTGCTGGACCCCTCCACGGGGGAGCTGCAGCTCAGCAAGGACCTGGACAACAACCGACCCCTGGAGGCCCTCATGGAGGTGTCTGTGTCTGGTGAGTGGCCGGTGGGGTGGGAGGAGCAGCTCCCCACAGGCTGCCTGGAGAGCTGCAGGGACCCGCCAAGGGCCCCACCTGACATGCCAGGGCGCATTTGGGCAGGGCTCAGGCAACTCTTTGGGGATTTGTTGCCTCCGGTGGGATGCTGGGGGCGGGCGCCCCACCTAGGCTGGCGAGTGGGAGAGGCGCCACACTGCTTCCCTCAGCGTTTTTGCTGAGAGCAGGCCCAGGCTGCTTCAAGTTCAAGACTAGGGCAGGCTAGTGGCTCCTGAACCATACTATTAAAACCTGGCCTGGGGTTAGCTAGGTTACAGGGTTTGCTTGGGGATGTTCTTTAGCCAGCCAGCCATGTGGTTCTCCGGAAAGATCAAAGGTCACTGCCCGCTTTATATACCCATTAGTTTCCAGGTGGGACCGTTGGAAATTGCTGGACAGGTCCCTGAGTCACCCTGTAATACGGCCAGTGTTCCCTTGGTCTGGCTTTTCTGTCTCCTCCAGATAATAACAGTTGGGTTCTGTGCACCCGTCTTTGTGCAAGCTCTTTGAAAAGCATAGTTTTGTTTGATCTTAGCTTCTGCTCCTGGATGTGGGCTTATAATTTGGGTGTTACTTAAGAGGCCTGCCCAGATTAGTGGTGGAGCCAGTGTGGGACCCTGCTCACCAGATCTGGGGCTGCAGGTGAACAGAAGATGAGTCAGGCTCACTCAGCCACCACATGCTTGGCAGCCTGCCCTCCATGCCACTGTCCCCTGCATGCCAGGGCCAGCATGCAGTGCTGGGGATAGGGGCACAGTAGAGGGTCTGGGAATTGGGAGATGCAGAGTCAAGAGAAGGATTTGGCAGAGGTTGGGAGAACAATACGTGGACCCCCAGTGGCTCTGCGAGAGGCCTTGTCTGCCCCCCCATCCTCATTTATGAGATCAAACTGCTGCCAAAAAGGGCTCAGACCTTCAGAGAGGTTGTTTAAACAATAAATTATTAGGATACAATATTGCCGTGGGAGCCCTGGAAGAAGGAAGCCGTTAATTTTCTGCCTGGCTTTTGTTTCCCGGTTGGCAGTGATTCTGTTGTGCAGAGAGCTGAGCAGCAAACAGGTCTCAGTGCCAGTTGTATGTAAGATCTGAAACTTACAGATGCAGTTTTGAAATGATGCAATCCTTCAGATGGATTTTGGCAGCACACTCTATCTTGTTGGTGGATATTTTAGGATTTGTGAGATTGTAAAAATGTGTAAAGTGTACGGAATGGGCCCTTAGGGATGAATTGTTAACCAGCGTGATGGATGTTCGGATTCATAGTTTTCCTTTACCACTTTATTTGCTCGATGAAGCAGAATGGAAAATTTGGCCTGTGTAAAAGCAATGCGGGTTTAGATTTTGTGTGTGTGGGGGGGTATGGTGCTTCAGCAGGATATTTTGCTGGCCTGTGATATCAGCAGTGTGGACCCTCCAAGTTAGCCTCACGGCTGGGTTTAGCTGAGGGCCGTGACACCTGGTGGGGGCACAGCCTGGACCACGGTGGAAGGTGGGGTGGCGGTTCTGTGCTGGGTAGTAATTGTCTCAGTGATCCTGTCCTTGGCTCTGGCTCTTTTGCTGACATCCCCTCCTGTACATCAGGCAATAGGTGTTCATTTTCTATGTGACAATTTTTGAGTGAGATTTTAAATTCTATGGTAGGAACTTTTTACCATTTACTTATCTGTGACCTCCACCCCCTAGATGGTAACGATTACCTGTGATGGGGTTCTGTCAAGCAGGGGTGTAGACCCTTGTGCTTATACTGTCTCTGTTCCTTTGGTCCCTGGGAGGTGAATTTCTCTCCTGCCCATTCCACAGATGAAGAGGTCAGTGGTTTCACAGTCAGTGAGCAAGCAGGCAGGGCACCAGCCCAGCTTTCGCACTCTCTGGCCTTACCTAAGAGACAAGTTTTTGAGGAGTTAGTTGCTAATCTGAGTTATTCCTGTGCCGGCTGAGTGCCCTGCTCCCCAGTGACTTTCAGAGCCATCTGACTCCTGTTAAATGCTCCCAAGAAGCTGCTGCCTCTGGACTGTAAGATTGTAGTTCCAAACCCCTAAACACTATGGAGAAAGCAAACCAAAGATGGGCCTTTGGAATAACTAGAGGCAGTTTCTTAAGGAACAGTGCTGGAAGGCTGTTGTTTCAAATGCAAATACTGTTTTCAATGAAGTGTTATTGGCTTCTCAGGATTTACAGCCCTACCCTAAAGCCTTTGATGTGTGGTTACGGTTTTAGCGGCGCTGTAGGGGACAGGCAGGCAGGTTAGCTCTGGTGGGGGCCGTTCGGGGAGGGCCTAAACCTGTCTTCAGCAGAGGAGCCCAGGTTGGCACCTGAGTCGGTGCCCAGCAGCATGGTGGGAGGAGGGCAGTTCCTTTCTCCTGGTCTGGGGTTTAGCACCATCATTTTGACTGTGAAAAGGTAGTATTGACAGTTTCATGCAGCCCACTAAGGGTGAATCCCTGTCTGAAAAATTTTTGAAGTGTGAATATGGTGAGATTCAAATGCCTGGGTAGAGTGCTGTGGTGTCACAGCTCACAGCAACCTCCAACTCTTGTGCTCAAGAGAACCTCCTGTCTCAGCCTCCTGAGTAGCTGAGACTACAGACGTGTGCCACTATACCCGGCTAGTTTTTGTATTTTTAGTAGAAATGGGGTCTGGCTCTTGCTCACACTAGTCTTGAACTCCTGAGCTCAGGCTATCCACCTCAGCCTCCCAGAGTGTTAAGATTATAGGCGTGAGCCACAGCGCCCGGCAGTGGGTGTTTTCTACATGAGATTTAAAATTCTGTGATAGGAACCTTTTACTATAAATGTGTAATAATAAAAGCTGTGTTTGCATTTTTCAAAGCAGTGTGGCTAATCACCCAGTGGCAACTCAAGCATGGAATATTCTCTGTGGTCTTTCTGGAAGTTGGTTTTTGAATCCATCTTGAACATGCAAACTGCAGAACATGGCTCCTGGTAGGAAGGTGCCTTCCCAGTCTCCCCTGCTGTGTGGCACATCCCCACAGACGTGGGGAAGGAGCGTTGGTAGGTGAGAGTCACTGGTGGGTGAGTCATGCAAGTATGTCAGAAAGTCCTGGAACTCAGGGAAATAGGAAGGTTGAGTAACCTCTTTGCCATTTACCTTGGTCGGGAGTGGATGGTATGAAGTCGTCTAGGCTTGATAAAGCTTTGAGAAGTGTTTGTGTGGTTAAATACAGGATATCACGGCGACTTTTACACAGAAGACAATGAACAGTGAAGCAGGGAGCTGCCCATTGCACTGGCTTTGTCTGGTGCTCGGCTCTTTATTTTTCTCTGAAACTCACAGTGTGGAAGAAGGTCAGACAGTCTTAACACACTTGTCTTGTTGATCTGGATTCTCTGGGAAGAGTTAGGCACTTTTGCCAACACCTCACCCATCCTGGGACTCTGACAACTCTGGGAGTGGCTTGCTCAGGCCTTGAGGAACACTGGCTCCGGAGCAAATGAGTGTTTATTCACTTGTGGAGCACCCACTGTGTGCAGGGCCAGTGTGGGCACCCAGTGTGGCCCTGACTCCCAGACACTGGGGACACATAGACTGTGGGAGACAGGGAGCTGAGCAAGGACAGGGAGGTGAGGACAGCCTGCATATCAGGGAGGGCCAGGGACCCTCCAGGGCCGGCAAGAGCATGGGAAGCATGTGCCTAGCAGAGAGATGGGTCTGGAGGGAGCTGACTGTGGAGGGTTAGGATGGGCGCTGGGCCTGTGTCCCAGCGGGTAGTGGGCAAGTTTCTCCTAGTGGGAGAATGGAGCAGGAGGGGAGATACGGCTCGGCCCCGGTTTAGATGGTCACACTGGTGGCCTTGAGGGCCCTGTAGCCAACGTGCTCTAGGTGCCAGGAACCCTCCAGGCACCTCCTGGGCCAGCAGATGAAGTCGCTGACCAATGTCGAGGGTCTGGGAGAAGTCAGGGACTGACCTCACCAAAGCGGTCTGTTTAAGCTGAACAATAGAACAGTCGAAAACAAACTGTCAGTGGAGGGAGTCTCCGAACCCCCATTGGTTAGCGACTGTTATAAATTCTCCTGCCGTTGCCTCCCTCATGTCTGGCGGTACTGTCACCAGGACATCTCAGAGACAAGGAACCCAAGAACAGGGTGCCCAGGACACCAGCTTGTGGTGGCAGCTCTGGGACTGGAACCCAGAAGGGCACTCCGGAGCCTTGTTCCCTCAGCTTGTGCTTTCCAGAGAGACCTGCCTGGGGCGGAGGGAGGGGAGGGTGTATTCTAAGCTGGGTCCTTGCAGTTTAGGGCCCCACATGGTTGTGGCTGGAATACTTTGAAGATTGTCCTAAAAACCACTGGATATGCAGGTCTGGACAGGAGGGGACAACTGGGGTCATGTCCCCAGATGGTTAGCACAGTCTTGGGCAGCTCTGTGGCAGGCAGAGAGGACAGTCATGGCCAAGGGGTGGCCATCGTGTCTGAGAGGACATGAGGGTACCAGAGCAGAGGGTGTGGGGCAGTTAGGATGAGGCCCAGGCCAGCCTTGAGGAACCCTGGCTGAGTGACCTGCTGGGCAAGGAGGCTCCACGTGAATTCTGGAGCAGGAAGAGCATCTGGAAGGCCTGAGGGGGCATGAGGGTCCCAAAGGGGCTCATCCCTGATGGATGCGCTCTGGCAGTCAGTAAGCCTGAGGACGGAGTTGACCCGGGTTAGCTGAGACCAGCTGGCCTCCAGGAGAGCCACGGTGGGGGGCTTGAGGGTGCTCGTGAGGAGCAGTTGAGGTTGTCAGGCATAAGTGGGGGGGTGGATGAGGCCAGGCTGGGAGACAAGGCAGGGTGGCCATGGGGACGTGGAACTTGTACACGGTCCAGCTGAGGGCCTGGAGGGAGCTGCTGGGTTCCTGTGCTCGGCCTTCCTGGCCCCTCCTGCAACCCTTCGCCATGCAGGCCTCGCCCTGAGTGGGCACCAGCACCTGCAGGGGCACTGGGAGAGGGCGGGGGTGTGGGCGGG